AAATAAATGAAATTATAATAATAATAATAAAAGCGGCTAACTTCATTTTAGCCCCTTGACTCCTAGCAAAGGGACCATCGGTTTCAGGCATGTTTTAAGCTTCAAAATCAGCTCAAAGAGCACCCTGAATTTTTTCCCAAGGTGATTACTGGTGATGAATCGTGGTGTTATGAATGTGACCCCGAAACAAAGCAGCAATCAAACCAGTGGAAGACACCTGGCTCTCTTCGCCCCAAAAAAGCTCTCCAAGTGAAGTCAAACATTAAAACAAACTCATTTGTTTCTTCGATTGCAGAGGTGTTGTGGACGCAAAGTTCGTTCCACCGAGTCAAACCAGAATTTCTACTTGAAGGTTCTGAAAAGATTAAGGGAGAGTACCCGGAAGAAAAGGGCAGATATTTGAAGCACAAGCGACTGGTTCTACCATCATGACAGCGCGCCGCCCACACCGCTCTCTTCGTAAAGCAGTTTTTGGCCAAAAACGGCATGACACCAATTGTTCACCCCCCCTTACTCACCAAATTTGCCCCCCTGTGATTTCTTTTTGTTCCCCAGGGTCAAAAGGGACATGAGAGGAAAGCGTTCCATTGTTAAGAAGGTAAAACAAAACAAAAATCGCTGGAAGGCCTAAGAACATCCCGATATGTGAATTTGAAAAATGTTTTGAACAATAAAAGAATCGTTTGCAGAGGTACGTTGTAGTCAAGCGAGAATACTTTGAAGGTGATCAAAATTTGGTGTAAAAATATTAAGAAATAAAAAAGTTATGACGAAATTCCCGTTTTCTTTTGGGCCCCCTTTCGTATATACCCATATCGCCTTCTTTTTAAGATTAGCTAATCTGCAACAATTTCATGTTCTTTTTCATCATTTGATAAATTGCTTTGTTTAATGAATTTAAACTTTTCTTTAAAAATCATTAACTGCCTCATTATTATTATTAATAGAACATGCATCTTTATGACCCGATAATAGATTTTCAACTTTTGACTATCTCTTTAACATCACATCAAAAGGTTAGTGGACATTCTTTTACTTAAACCGTTACTTCCATATCAGCACTTATTAAAATTTCATTTCATTACTTCAAGACAGTCATTAAAATTCTTACTTGCGAGTTTCAAAAGTCTTACAAGCAATCCATGACGAAGGATATTCGGCGTCACGAAACTTCTAGAGAATATACCGAGCGATTTCATTAACTACAAAAGAATGGTAGACGAATGTCACAGTACAACGCGGGAGCGCTATTTGAGAGAATCGCAGTCGACGTACCAAGACCATTCTCAGTGACGAACTCCAGTAACCGATACATCTTGGTAGTCATGGATTACTTTAGCAAGTGACCCAAAGCATATACGATACTGAACCAAGAAGCACACATCGTTGCTGAGAAGCTTGTCAATGACTGGATTAGCCGATATGGAGTACCAATGGAATTGCATTCCGACTAAGTCAGGAACTTCACTAAACTAATGGATATTACTAAAACGAGGACCACGACCCTACATCCACACTCTGATATAATGGTTGAACGATTTGACGCTACTCTGATGACCATATGAAAGAGCTTCGTCAAGGAGCACCAAACTGACTGGGACCTACGCATACTACTATTCCTCTGAGCCTATAGATCCGCTATCCATGAGACAACTGAAACAACACCGGCCAACATTACTTTTGGGAAAGAACTCAAGTTGTCAGCGGACATGATGTTTGGTCATCCTGGGGACTCTCCAGTATCTACAGACCATTACGTGGGCGAACTACGAGAACTACCAGAAGTCATCCATAACGCTGAGCGTACAAAGCTATGATTCGGAAATGACCGCATAAAGACCAGATACGATCGAACTATGCTGGTTTTAATGAAAGTTACAAAGTTTAATAGCCATACAATTCATGAAGGCGGAAGGAACGTTACTCAAAGCTATAACAAGTTTGGGATGGTCCATACACTGTTGTTGTCGCTTTAACGACGTTGTTCATCGAATTCAGAAGGGGCCTCGGGCAAAAATGAAGATCGTCCACCTTGACCGGCATGGTCCCTAAAAGGGCGACGTCACTGATCAGAACGATCAGTTTTATAAGGGAGGCATACACATATTTTAGTCTGTACATATGTTTTCTTTCTGTTTTTTTTTTCTGTACTGGTATCGTACTATACAAGCTTAGGTTGTTCCAATTCGGAAAAACTCACAACGCTTTGCAGTTCAAAATTATCACTAAAGCAAATTCAAGTTGACGGAATTTTATAAAAATATTTAACCTATCTTCAGTGTACTTGTGAAGCAATAATAAATAAAACAAAAGATCTATTATAGATGTTTTACTGCTTTATTATTATTCTACATGTGCTTCGGGTAAAGCTATGCCTAACAATAAAGCAGCGAATCATCTATAATAGGAATTTTATAAAGCAATAACTAATTACGTAAGTGTATAAAACTAATTTTTCATAAAGAATGGAGAAATACCTACTTTATCCTAACTGATATTATGAATGCGAATGTTTGTTTCTTTGTCGATTTCTCACTCCTACTCAATCGACCATAATGAAATTTTGTAGACACAGGGGTACAGAAAAGGACATAAGGTACCTTTATCAAGAAAAAAAAAATACTGTTCCCGAGGGATAGAAATATTAGTTCAATGTGGTCGATTTCACGCCTTAACTACTCAATCGATTATCATGAAATTTTGTAGACACATTGTTAGCGATGCAGAAAAGGACCTAGGGTAGCTTTTATCCAGAAGAAAAAATGCTGTTCCCGAGGGATAGAAAATATTAGTTTTATGTGGTTGTCAATGATGTTTGACACGTATTTAGGACATCAATGCGACCTAAGCCGCGGGCAAAATTTAATACTTCCATACTTTTCCTTTTTCGAGATACTGCTAATACAAAACTTTTTTTAGGTTATTGGCTACTTACTTACTCTCTGTTTAAGACTTAAATCAATAATATTCTCACCTTAAAACTTCCTTCCTTTAATACATGCACCCCTATTCTTCCTAAATCCAATGTTTTGATATTCGGCATTTTCGCTAATATCTCTTCAGGAATGTAACCAATATTGTTATCAGCCAGACTAAAGTAATTTATGTGCGGAAGGTCCTCAAATGTGTTCGGTGATAGAGTAGCATTGCTGTAACAAAAAGAACTTACGGTTATATATACCTAAATTCATTCAAAAATTTTCAATTCTATCAGTTTCAAATTAAAATTGTTACCAACAAGAGTATTTTTCTTTCAATTAATTTGTAACGATTTTTAATATTATGAAAAAAATTAAGAACGATTGTTGATTTAAATTAACGAATCATGTAGATATAGATAATAATCTTTACTTCCTTTTTGCTTAAATGTAAATTAAGTAATGGCTTAACAATAATTAGTATTCGTGCATACATGAATTATATGTACTTTATATTTTTTAATGAAAATGATTGCTCAAACCAACTTAAATTAAATTCAGCATACAACGGAAAATTTTCTAGGACTGTCGTTAAACTCGTTTTGTGATAAAATATTCGATCAGACGGAATTAAGTGTCACAACAAGAATATGTGTTTGGCTATAGATAAGCAAGATTAACTTAATTCTTGCATTTATTTATTTCTTATTTTCCCATATAACCTGCTGAATAATTCCCTTGATTTTCTTGTAATTAAACATTTAGCACCATAAAACGGCTGTTCGTTTTCCGATAATCTTTGTAATTAACATCTAAAAAAGAATAAAGAAGATCGAGTCCAACGATTAACATCTCGCAATGGAATGTTGACGCCTGTCGTATGAGATGGCGCCACTCCATGGTGAACGATGTCGCCACCAACGCTTTCCAATGAATTTAATTAATATCCTGTAGCATGTTACATGACATAACTGGCGTCAACATTGCGGAGACAGGTTAGTCTCCTACAGCGCAAATTCCGCTTCCGTTATTTTCGACACAGAAACAGCAGTGAAAGAGTTTTGAAAGAACGCGTAGTATTTTTATTACATAATATATGTGACTTCATAATTGGTACCTTGAAACATTCAAGGAAACAGACCCATCGTTACATTTAGTGTAATAAATATTAAAAGGACTCTACAACCATAGGAATTAGTTTCATAAAACGATTTGTTCTTCCATTTGGAATTAAAATTCATAGTTTCGCCTTTTCTTATACGTTAGGGAATGCCATTTTAAGGCAAGAGTTTTTTGCACCTACCAGTATCTAACCATAAATTCTCCATTAATGTAGCCATCTTTCTTAATTGCAAATATGATATAATGCGAGTCGACCGTCCTTTTTAATTAATTAGAGCAACGAAATACCACTTCTTTTATATAAATTGATATTTCTCAATGTCTATTACACACATAATACTATTCCCTAATAATTGAAAAATTTGTTTTATGTGGTCGATTAAACGCCTTAACTACTCATTTAATTATTATGAAATTTTGTAGACACAGGAGTATAGAAAAGGACACAGGGTACCTTATCCAGAAAAAAAGTAATGTTCCTGGTGGATAGACAAATTAGTTTTATGTGGTCAATTTCACACCTTAACTACTCGATCAATCATTATAAAACTTTGTAGACACATTGTCAGGGGTACAGAAAAGGACATGGGGTACCTTTTATCTAGAAGAAAAAATGCTGTTCCCAAGGGATAGAAATATTACTTTTGTGTGGTCATAGATGATTTTTGACACATATTAAGAACAACAACACAAGCGATGCCGGGGGTAAAAAACAGCATTTAAATATTTGAAAATTTATATAGATACATGGAATGATTTAAAATTTTGTAAAATATTTAATATGTGCAATGTTAAAACATTTAGTGTTATTCACGTTATACAACACAAATGATTGGGGTTATGTTCCTAGATTTTTATAGATTTTGTTATGGGGGTGGCTGGAGATCCATAAGTGATACATTTTGAAATTATTTTAATAATATTCCTTTTACATATTCCCACAAAAACTTTCAGCATTGATCTCCATGACCGCTCGACTACCGACCTTTTTATGAGGAATCATCTCCAACCGCATCAGAAAATATGAAACAGCGCATAATAAAAGCTTTGAGAATTATAAATCCAAAATCCACAAATGTTGACCAATGTTGCTGAAGACTTAGAATAGAGAATACGTTTATGTTTAAAATTAGGCGGTCGTCATTCTGAACGCTTGCCGTAAATCACTATTATTTCTTGTATTTCCTCCTTTACACCTCATAAATCTTAAATGTTGTTAATCAAATATTATTATTTATACCAGCTGTTTGTTATATAATTCTGACCTGCTAATGTCACAGCTGACTTGATAAATATTAAATTTGTTAAAATCGTTCTACGTTCTGAAAATGTGGGTTTTTCATGAAAAGGTCAACAGCTAGCTGTAGGAAGGTGTGATAGTTTTAGACAGAAGATTAAATTCTGCTGTTGGCATAAAATACAGGGTGTTCTATTTAAACTAAAGTTTATTACATAATATTACCGTTTTTTTGTATTTATTTAATCATATCTTTTTTGTCACCCTGTATACGTTAGTCAATTTCTTACAATTGCGATACAAAACTTAAAGGGCAGGTATTAATTTAATTTCAACATCTTCAAGGTTTAAGTGTGGTAAACCTTAACAAAACCTACTCTTATTTTGATCATAGTGTAGCGAGCACGAGTGTGTTTGTGGGCGTGAACGGTTTATCGATTCGCCGACTATCTAAAGGAGCCTTTCTTCATGTTCGGCGTATTTGTAAATGTGTGTCGTACCTGCGTTCTAGGAAAGCAGTTAAACAGTTTAAAGAAAAACAAAACGATCCGGATGTTTTCAGAGGGTTCCAGAAAGGAAACAAAAGAGTATTTAAAGGAAGAGACGATCGCCGAGAAAGTAGAAATAAATTGACCGTTGCAGAAGTGAATCCAGAAATAAATTGACAGTTATAGCAGTGAAATAAATAGCGCAGTGAATAGTGATATATCAACAGTAGTGTAAATAAATAAAATAATTCATAACCTAAGTAGTAATAATTTAATGGTGTTTTTAAGTTCTTCAATAATTACTGTAAATAAATAGTTTTTGTCGTTATCAGTATTAGAAGTTAATTTTGTTAAACCCACGAACATTACAATATAACAATTTTGATTTGAAAAATACGAAATAGTATTGATAACCTAGCAGCCCTGCTACGAGCCCTTTCACTTAACGTCATGTTTTCCCCATCGAACTAAATTTTTGTATGATTTACAATTGTTATTGTCATAAGGACTTAAAACAAGATTAGGTATTGTCAATTCATGTAAAACCATATTACAGATCTCTTTTAAATTTTTCTTAATATGCTAATCCAGTGTTTATTATTTGAATTTCAAACGTGGTATATAGGTACGTATATATATATACCTCCTAAGGATAATAATGAACAACTCTCCGTTTCTACCCACTCACTAATTACAATTCATGATATTCATAGAAGGCTCTAATGAAATATGTATATAGGCATACGTGTATTATGTTAACTTACAATATTACCTTTTGCATAAATAATAACGTCCTCTTCTGTTTCAAAAAAAAATGTATCAGTAAATATTGTGTTTGCATATTAACTTTTTTTTTGCATTCATGCAATTATGTATAAACAAAACATCTACGATGTGAATTTTTATTTTACCCTTTTACGCGTAATAAATGTGTATGTATATGTGCGATATATAATGCGCCGTTTTTTGTGATTAAATATCTTCTTCCCCTTCATATTGCTTTACGGAAATAGNACTCCACATTAAGAGAATCCTGATTCTTTAATTTATTAACAAAATTACAATTAATGAATATAAAACGAATAATAAGATGACAGTTTTATTCAGTTAATCTGGTGAATGGTTAGTTGGTACATCGTCATAATAGTAGCTCTTAATCTGGAAGCTAAATTAAATCCTGCATTACCTAATATTACAATAATAAATTAATCGGCTTTTTATGAGAATATATATCTATGTGAAAGATTATAAATAAATAGGTGTCGTGCTCTTGGCGCCATGTTCCAAGTGACGTGTCCTGACTTTTGCAAACTTATAAAGTTGGGATGATCAAAATTGGCATATTCCGCAATAAATTATTTAGGAAAATGGACGTATCTTCATTCTTGTTTCCACTTGGGATTGTAGTTATTTGCTGTGTTTTAAACATGTCGACGATAAGTTAGGAAATGTTCATCAGTGATATAAAGTGATAAGAGATAGTAGAATGAAGATTCGGGCTATAGGGCCGTGGTTTAAGTGAACTATTCCGTCCAGACGTTTCGTCAGCTACTGCGGCTGGCATCCTCAGTGGTAGTGCTGCGTTGACAATGTAAACGTAGATTATATCTGGTTGTCCAGTCGCTGTCGAGACTTCGAGATATAATTTACGTTCACGTTGTCAACGCAGCACTAGCTGAAGTTTGCAAATTTAATAAAATTACAATTACCTACCTAGGATATTAATTTACCTATTAATATTTACGTAACATTAATATTTTCTTTCTTTTGTGTTCTGACTATTGATATATTAATGCTGCTTACTTTCAGGGATGAATAAAATAGCTATTTGATTAAATTATATCGAACTACATGTGTTAACATTATTATGTGTAGAAGCATAGTAAAAACCTACTTTACACAACACAACCTTCACTGTTTACATTCTCCGCCTATGTACCTGCTTAGTTGTTATTGCAATTACTCTGTACATTGTTAATTCACGCCCAGGGCCGGCTTCGAATTGCAATCTGATCAGCTGAGAATTAAGAAAATTTTATCTTGTATAGGACTTATCATGTTGGATTATTAATGTATCTAAAAGCCGAGTTAAATGTTTATTAATGTTAAATAGTTTTTATTCATATATATATCTGTTAGAAGTAAACGATTATTATACACCTGAAGCTTAGATAAGATACTTTCCAATAATTGGTGGATCGAGAATTTAAAAGGTAGTAGTAAGATAAAGTTGGCGAATTGTGAATAGTGAAACGGAAAATAACCAAGTATTTAAAATGCAGTCGTAGGGTGGGATCCTTGAGGTCCACACAAATAACTTCCTGATACGATATTTATCAAAATCAAAAATTTAGTAAGTGATTCATGTTAATTAACATTTAAGC